AACCCCGGGATTGGTTTGGGGTCTCGTGTGGTGGTAGAGCTTCTCCTCCAACCCGTGTTCCCAAAGGAAAACTCTGCAGTCTCTTCTTGTTCGGTCTCAAGATGATTTATTGCTAGTTATCTAACAGATTAGGTTCTCGGGCTGCGGCCCTTTGGTCAGCAGCCCAGGCAGAGAAGCACACACTCCTGACACCCTGACTGTCTGGTGTCTTCTTCTCCTCTCTCCCCGCCCAGGGCTGCTGCTGTCTTTTATAAGATATATTACGTATAACATGTTTACAATTATTCCCCAATACCTATTACCTACGTTGCCAAGTGTTTTTCTACTCTAAACCAATCTGTGAGTGCCAACATCACCAAGAACATGGAGGTAAGGAAGAAGAAAGAAGAAGGATGGGTTCAGCCCACTTTCCTCCATCTTAGAACTTCTGACCCCCATGTACAAAGTAAAAACCCCCCTGTACATGCACTAAACCCCCCCGGTACAGTACCAAAAAATTTTTCCCTCTACTTTCTGACTGCATTTGTTATACTATCCAGCATTTTGTGACTGCTTGTTCCAACTTCAAAGTTGGCAATTCATTCCATGGTTCAAACTCAAAATCACAGCTAAATCCAGCTGCCTGCCGGGGTCCAGACTGCGTCTGACCACAGCCTGGAACCTCCAAAAATGTCTGAGAGACATTTTGAGTTCCCACACCTCCTAAAATTAATGAAAATTAGCTTATTACCATATCTCTTATTATAGTGGAGATGAGAGAGATGTTGTAATGGGATCCAGCTCCAGCTGAGGTCTCAATATTAAGGGGTTTTGATCCTGGTAGTGGCCAAGCACCTTTGGTTATCTTTCAGTGCACACCACAGCACTAAAAGTGAGTATGCAAAGATCTGGCAAAAGCTCCATTTGCTATTAACACCTAATGCACTACCCAGCATGTTCCAGCCCCCTGATAGCAGACAGGATTTTGCATGCATTTCTGCCCCACCTAAAAATCACCTAGCTGGATAATACTATCTACAGCTTACCTATCAATATTTGTATTCCATCAGAAAGGCAGTACTTTTAATCATAATACTTCCAAGGAATGCAAAGTTCTGGACTCAGAAATTTACCCAGGTCAGTGCTCTACAAAACCAAACATTTTTCTCATTGCCAGCTGGAAAAATTTCACAGATTTCTTTGAGTATTACAAAATAACTGCATTTACATTGAGCAGGCTTTCCCCCCTCCACCTAGACTTGAATTGCACAACATAAAGGCAGCATAAAATATTTGCTCTCTGATTCCACATAAAGAACTTCAGCTTTCTCTGGAAACTTAAAGCTCTTTGGAAGCCAAACACCCCGCAATGGTAAGTCAAAGGTTTAGATTAGGTTTGGGATTTTTTGTAATGGAGATACAGATAGGTATTTGCTTTAAAACTGCAACATTGAAGAGAATCATCTAGTTACACATTTTAAATGTGGGTATACCGTATTTCAAACCTGTAAGATGGAAAGACAGGAAGACACCTGTGTGACGATTACTGTGAATTGTATTCTTTGCATTGTAATTCTTTGCAAGAAACTGTACAGAGAGCTCTTAATCTTTCATTTACTGTTACCCTTTCCTCAGAAATGTTTGTGAGTTTTGCAATCATTCAGGACCATGCTTTTAAAACTTGTAAATCTGAAGTACAGTTTAAAATACTGTCATTTTACAAAGACAAAAGTGTGTATAAGTTATGCATGTATTAATTTCTGTTCTTCACTTTTGATTCCTCAAATTGTGTCCTGTTCTAGCTCTTCAAGCCTCCAAAGGTGTTTGCAGAATCTAGATCAACAGTTAAGTAATGATAGACTGACAAAGTCCTATGGCCTGGTTCTCCTGTAATTTCTGCTCACATAATAACAAAGGCACAGACATCAAGAAGTACGTTTGATGAACATCTCAGGAATGGCATAGGTTCTACAGAGGAGGCAGCAGTTTCTATAATAGATGTTGATTCATAAACAGGGGAGAAATTACCATTTCCTTCTTTCTCTCTACAGAAGAGCTTTCTGGCTTTCCTTGTTGCAATGGGCATCACAGTGACCCTGAGCGATGCAANTCAGGAATGGCATAGGTTCTACAGAGGAGGCAGCAGTTTCTATAATAGATGTTGATTCATAAACAGGGGAGAAATTACCATTTCCTTCTTTCTCTGGTTAAGCTTTATTGCCAAGTTTCTGTTACTTAGCTGACAAATCATTTGCTTGTTGCAGCATAAAGCACATTCAGACTCCTCACTGAACACCACAGACTTCCCCTTATGTTTCTCTTTAGTTTTGTTGGAAGGTTCTAAACTTTGATCTTTAGTGAGAAGAGCATGCCCAAGCTCATGTGACTGGCATTTCCAGGAGTAGCCTGATAAGGAAAATGTTGGAGGGAAAAAGGGATAAAATATTAACAGAAGACAGCACAACACATGAAGGATTTTTGTATTTTCTATAAAGACTTGAGTAACATGGCATAGGGTATCTCTGTTGTTGCAAACACCTGATGCAGGCACCATGGAATAGCACATTTTAGGAGTTTCAGTCTTTAACTTCTTTCATTCTGGCCTTGGTGCTCAGCATGACAATTGTCTCTGTTGTAGCCTAAAGCCTCAGGAACTCCACATCACAGAACCACAATGAAAATGAAGCATTACACCCTTCCCAGACCACTCCATAAACCCTCTTCTTCCTTCCTTTCACTATTTCTTAAATATCACTCAGTCCCATAACAAAGCAGGACACCAAGGATTAAAATATCATTTTTTTTCCAGAGCAGACAGAGGAGTTTCTCCTTGGCTCACCTTCTTCCTGAGACTTATAACCTTTCAATATCTTACGGCATTGTGATTCAAGTAAACCAAGACTCTCCCTGCTGCTTTAAACCCAGTTTCAAACAGCAACAGTCTCACCAATATCTTCTGAAATTCAGAACAGTAACTTGGAAAGATCTACTCATTTCAAATCCTTTCCTGTTAGTCTGCAAGTGCTATTAAGAAAATTTAAATAATTTCCTCCACTGCTTCTCAGTCTCTGGCTATTCCAAAACTTTTCCTTTCAGTTATTCAGCTGGAGCAACCCATTAAAATAAACCTGTGCTCTCTCCTGCTTCTCTAGTCCCTCTACTCCAGTAAAACAATCATTACAAAGTCATGCAGGCTTTTTCAAAAAAAAGTTCTGGATTTTCAGCAGGCCACAGGGGACATATCTGAAGGCCTCTTACTGATGCTTAGCTGTTGTCCCCACTAGAAAAAAAGGAGGTGTGTCCTGTGTCAAATCCCAGCCTGTGTCTGCATGGATGGCTCAGGTGATGCTAAGTACAATGTACAGCATTCAAATTTTGCCTAAAGACACACATTTATCTCTCTCTCCCCTGATCAGCTACCTGTGTCAAAAAACCTACTGGAATAGATTTAGATCTGAGATCTCCTCTCCATTGCAAAATGTGAAGCAATTGCTGTACCCAGAAGGGAAGCAATGGGATGCTCAACAAAGATTTGCTAGAGAAATAGCTAAAGCTGACTCAAAGGCAATAAATAAAGCACTGACAAGAGCTTGGCAGGGCTTTCAAGTTTATACTACTATTGAAGTTTTGTGTGATTTCTAGAAACTATTTTGCAGGGAGTGATACTGCTGACACGGTAATATCATGCCATTTTGTATCTCCCCACCTAAATGAAAAATGCAGGGAGTACTGCATTTTAGTGCAAGTAATAGTACACTCAAGTGTACATTTCCACTATTTTCATGTACATATAAGGTTACTTCTAATTTTGCTTCAGGTTCAATGACAGCTTTTGAAAAGAGAGCTAATCAATGTGGATTAAAATGCATGGTGCAAGCTCTGTGTTTCTTTTACAGAAGAGCTTTCTGGCATTCCTTGTCACAATGGGCATCATAGTGACCCTGAGCGATGCAGACTGCTGGAGGAAAATTCACAAGCCAGAGGAGGCCAAAAATGGTAAGAACAAGGAAGGTCCTCTGACCTGATGGCTCTGTGATAACTTGGCCCTATGTGGAGCTGCCAGGAAGGGCTCAAAATACAAGGGTGGGGGAAGACATTGGAAAAACACATATAGGGAACTCCAGCAGCAATATGCCAAAAGGAGGGGAAAAAGAAAGTCTTCCCCTGGGCTGCGTATGGTTGCAGCAATGTTATTGCAATTGGTGGTAGGTTGCTACTGCTATTCCAGCACATGGAGCTTATTCAGGA